GGGGGGGGGGGGGGGGGGGGGGGAGGAGAGAGTCAAACAATTATTAACTGGCTTTATAAGCAAACTTTTAATTTATTTACTATTGGACAAAGTTGAAAAAGACGTTGCTTTAGATGAAACAAAACTTACAAGAAAATGAAATAGGCATGATATGTAAACACCTAACTAAATTTTTGGTGCATGGAACGTGCAATTCGTTATTCGTAGATCTTTTTTTTTTTGTTCAAATCGTAGACTTATTTAGAAGAAAGAAAAAAAAAATACAGAAAGAGAAATAGCGATAGTGACAGAGAGATAGAGAGACAAATAATAAAATTATTAACTGGCCATATAAGCGAACTTAGACTACTAATTAATTTAATATAGGATAAAGTTGAATAGTTTGGTACATAGCAGAAAAAGACGTCGCTCACATAAAACAAAGCTTACAAGAAAATGATAGATTTAGAGGACGTTGACATGTCAAACTATCCATCGATCCAAGCACGAAATGAACCAAAAAACACAATATTTTTCCACTATATTCTTAAGAAACCACTTCATCCACAATTTATTAGAGTATATTCTTTAATTTGTTCATTTCTTTCAATCAAAACGCCACCAATCTTCCCTCTTTTTATCGAACATATCATGTAAACCGTTGACTTCCAAATCCTTTAATTAATTGGACCATTTCCTTTTATTCTTATACCAAATGGCTAACCAAACCATATCCACTCCAAATAATTCTCTTAAAATTAAACCATCTCTTTTCATAAGACCATGAATAACACCACCATCTCCGATCCAACTTCCGGCGACGGCGGGTTCCTCGGATCGGAAAAAATTGGAGGGTTCGGTTATACAGTTGGTGTTTCAGCTGGCATTGTACTATTGATTGCAACTATAACTTTCACTTCATACTTTTGTACAAGAAATCAAAGAACACCAAGAAGACCACTACGAACGGCTAATCGAAACGAACATAGTTGTGTGGTGGAAATGGGAATTGATGAAAAAACACTTTTGAGTTATCCAAAGTTGTTGTACTCTGAAGCTAAGGTCAATTACAAGGACTCAACAGCTAATTGTTGTTCAATATGTTTGGCGGATTACAAGAGTAAGGACATGCTTCGATTGTTGCCAGATTGTGGACATTTGTTTCACTTGAAATGTGTCGACCCATGGTTATTATTAAATTCAAGTTGTCCAGTTTGTAGAAATTCTCCACTGCCAACACCTTTGTCCACTCCTTTGGCTGAGGTTGTTCCTTTGGCAAGTTGACCTTCGGGATGATCAGTAACTGTCAGCGAATACACTTGTACTTCATTATTAATGTAAGAGTTTCCAAAAATGGTTTATAATATTGTGGACTACTCCATTTATTGCCATAAAGTTGAGATTTTTTTTTATTTTTAAAAATTTATGGCATCAAATTCTGATGTTTGTTTCATTATGTGCTTGTCCTCTGTAAAGAGGAGTGATAACATAGGATTAGCTTGCTTATGTGTCCAAGTGAGTTATAACCAATTATAATAATCATGGATTCCAATAACTTGACATGATTGCAAAAGGACGGGGAGAAACAGGTTACATGAATTTATTACTTACAAGTGGCGAAATCAGAAATTTCTTCAAGGGTGGTCAAACTCGAAGAATTAAAAAAATTCATGACAAACGGTGTTCAATATATATTATATACCTATAAAACCTAATATTTTACTTATATACATAGTATAATTTTCCGACGAAGGGAGGTCAATTGACCATCCTTACCAGAGTATAGCTTTGCCCCTGATTAATTCTTCCCTTTTCAATTTATGTGAAGTATGCCTTCTTCTGACCTCGATAAGTGATACTTCGAGATGATACCGGTATAGTTCAGTAACGGAAAGAGCGAGATACCCGCAACAGACCAAAGATCATGGCGTGAATTTCGGAATGGATTGATCCTCGGCGATTAATCAGTTGTCAAATATGATTTCCTACTATATTAGAAGTGTACCTTATTTAGGACTCCCCTATTATATAAAGAGGGATCCTATTAATTTGTAAGCATCATTGTTCACTGATAAGAAAAGATACGCTCATTACTTTTTTGCTATTTCACTTACTGTTCATCAGAGTTACTTTATCATTTGCTATTCCTATTATCACACCTCGAGACTATCATAGGTCAAGGTCGAGATTTGGCTTGCATACTGGTTTGATTTATTTTATCCTCAAATGTGTATTTCCTTATTTATCAATTGGTATTGGATTAAATCACATATCCTTAAAACGACAATATAAGTTTAGTTGTTACTCAAATTTTAGGGTAAACAGTGTGGTGTCCACCGTGGGGCTAGGGATAATAGTGATTGTTTCAGTGCCGATTCTGATAACACACGTTATTTCACACTTGTTCTGGTCAAGTATTTTTTGCTCTCAGGTTAAAACATGTCAAACTCACAAAACGCACCCATACATGGTGATGATTGTCTCGGATTTCACGGGGAAAATGACAATGTGATTGCTCCAGGAGCCGGGGTGCCACCGGCTAATCTCGGAGGAGCACCGGTTGCCGATCCAATCGATGTTAGTTCGCACGTTGCTCTAAATGCGGACCTATGTGATAACTAGGGATTCTAGTTCATTCTACACTCATTTTTACTTGAGTTTTGATTAAAAATGCATACAAAAAGTCCCAAAGGCTTACATGTTGTACTTGTTTGCAGGGTTTGGTCAAGAAAGTGACAAGACGTCAAAAATCAGCTCGAAAAGGAGTGAAACCTGCACGAGTACCAAGAACAAGTCAAAGCACAGCTACAACAGACCCACCGCGGCCGCAATCCATTTTATGCGGTCCGCGGTGAGGAGATTCAGAGAGGTGCAAATTTTGGAAGCTCAAGCATTCCGGCCGCAATCCATTTTGTGCGGACTGCAGTAGCCTCACTGCGGCCGCAATCCATTTTATGCGCTCCGCGGAGAAGAGATTCAGAGAGTTGGGCCGCGGTGGCTTCACTGCGGTCCCCAGTAGCCAGATTCAGAGACCTAAAAATCAAGCTAAAAAGCCTCAGTGCGGCCGCGGTACCTCCGCAGGGGTATTTTTCTCCAGAAAATTCGGCCTTGTCTAAATAGTTCTTTTTCAGATTTTTAGGGTAGCTAACTTTTAGCTGAGCACGTGAAGGCCGTTTTGGACCTATTTTGAGTAATTTTGTGGCTAGTTCAACATTTAATCTTTAATTCTTAGCTTGTAAACATATTATATGGGTTATTCTTCATCTAATTATCTATTTTCTTCCATTATTTTGAGTAGCTAGACCCCTTAGCTAGGGTTGTGGCTCAACCCTAGTGTGGGTATTTGATGGGTCTTGTGCTTTAAGGCTTAGATGTTTATGGGTGGTTGATATTTGGACTGATTTGTATTTTCTATGTTGGGTTAGTAGTTGCAAACACTAATTCGTGCCTATTTGACTTGAGCTCTTCTTGAGAAAGAGAGCTTGAGTCTAGGTAATCAGTCCAACAAGGAATTGGGGCGTACTCAAGAGATTGATAGCCCCAATTAAAGGGTTAAATCTAGAGATAGTAATACCCGACTTGAGCCTACATTGCTTGTATAATTTCGACACTCAATTGGCCGTGAGAAAGTCAATTTGGGCCAAGTCTCTTATGCTACCGAGAGGTATAGAGTGAGTAGCATCGTGCATTGGCTATATCGCGATCCAAACATAACAACTTTGCCGACTCTAGATACCGTCAAGTATTCACCTAGGGGCAAGTCACTTCCCTAGTGCCACGTTACCTATTAGAAAACTTTTCAAGCAATTATTCTTAGTTTAATTTAGCATCTCAATAGTATAATATTAGAAGTAAAAAGTAAACAGTTATGATTGGAAGCGTAATTAAGAGCATTACGCATTGCCAGTTTAGATAGGAATCCAATTCCCAATTCTAGCTCCCTGTGGATTCGATCTCGACCTTTTCGGGTAAAAGCTGCATCGACCGCTCTCGCCACTCCATAGTGGTGCAGGGTTGGCTCCGATCACTTTTTGGCGCCGTTGCTGGGGAGCTAACGGTTTTCGCTATCTATCTAAATAGTTTTGTGTATTGTTTTTCTTTCCTTATGTGATACTAACTTGTGTGTGACGCCAATTCAGGTACAATATGACGGCAAACAACAACAATGACCTTCTTTGAAACGTGGCTCCGGGGGAGGAGGTAGATGACATCGGTGAAGATGAGGTGTCTCTTGTACCTCAAGGACAAAGGAGAAGCCGCCAGGCCAATGCCAATGATAATGTTCCAGACCCTCCCCCGCCACCTCCAAGAGTGGCCCCTCGGGTGCTTCCCAACCAAGGATATGCCAGTGCAATTGTCCCACCCCGGATCCGGGTGGGCAATTTTCAAATTACCAATGTGATGCTGACCTTGTTGGAGCAGCGAGGATATTTCATGGGTGCTCCCGATCAAAATGCTTACAAGCACCTTAAGGGTTTTGTAGATACATGTTGGGGGAGCAAGCAAACGAACGTGTCCGAGGGTGCTTCGCAGTTGAGATTATTCGCTTTAATTCTCTCTTCGAGGGTAGGCATTAGATTGGCTGGAGAGACTCCCCAACCACTCCATCCATACATGGGATGAGTTGGCGGACAAATTCATTACAAAATTTTTCTCACCAGAGCACATGGCAACTTTGAGGGATGAAATCTTAGCTTTCAAATAGGAGCCCAACGAACCATTGCATGAAATCTGGGAGAGGTACCAGACTATGGTAAAGGAGTGTCCCAACAATGATATGACTGAGGCAATGATACAACAGACTTTCTACAGGGGCATTAACACCACTAACCAGTGCATAGTGAACCAACTCGCCGGGGGTAACTTCATGAACACACCGTATGGCAAAGCAGAGCAAATGTGCCACAGGGTGACACGGTTATTCACTTGCACAAGGAGCTTCATGATCATGGATAGGCAATGGCAGAACTTACAACAACAATGAACCAGTTAGCAAAGACACAATTACAACAGGTTCAAGCTCCTCGACAAGTAAATGCAATGGAGGGTGTCAATATTCTAGTGAACAAAAGAAGACAAAGAGGCCAACAGAATCAAGGGAGTTCGGATAAATATGACCAAGATAGTGGTGGATTCAAAGATGATGGTTATGATGAGCAGAATGAAGAAGTGCAATACGTGAACAACTATCAAGGCCAAAGGGGCAATTCTTCCAACCAACAACAACAATGGAGACCCAGGGCAATTGGGGAAATCAACAACAAGGGAACAATAATTGAGGGAACAACAACCAAAATCCTAATTGGGGCAACCAAAACAACAATCAGAACAATCAGGGTAACTGGGGTAACAACAACAACAACTGGGGTGGAAACAACAATCAGGGTGGTTGGAACAATAACAACTAGGGAAATTGGGGGCAAGGCTTTCAAAGGCCCCCAATGTATCAACAACCGAACAATCCATCCCCATTCCCATCCCAAGGTCCTAGTGCATCCAACAATGACACAATCAGGGAAATTGGGGTAAGGTAGAAATGATGTTTTAACAGATGATGAAAAGGAATTCTGACTCTGATGCTCAGTTGGCATCCCACAATACCTCAATTAGGAACTTGGAGGTTCAGCTAGCCAAATTTCACAATCCTTGAATACTCGCCCTAAGGGAGCTCTACCTAGNCCAAAGTTTTGAGGAGGACTCTAAACTTCAAAGCAAAGGGTTGGGAGACGTTCGTGTGCAGCAGGTTGGATCTCACTACTCATGAGAACTCTCTACCTATCTCTCGGGCAATCTTGGTGGCTTCTATCATGGCAGGGTACCCGATCAACGTCGGGAATGTGATGTCTAGGGTGATCACACGGGTGGTCAATCAAGGTGATAGATCATATCCCTTCCCACATTTCCTGACTATGTACCTTGATGACTTGGAGGTGGAGAAGAGGAAGTTTGATGTGAAGGTGAAGCCAAAGGCGCCTTTTTCCTCGTACAGCCTGCAGAGTGATGACAACCCCAAGGGCAAAGATCCTAAAGGCAAATCTACTGCTTCTACTGGCCAGTCTGAAGAGCCAGTAATAGTAGTAGCTCCTTCTCAGCCCCCCTCAGCTACCCCAGATACTGCCCCAGGACCCTCTACTACCAATGCCCCAGATATCCCTTCATCTTCAGCCTACCCATTGACTGCCCACCATTTGAGCCAGACCCTTGCTAGTATCAACAACTGGATGCAGGCAGCTACTTCTAAGCTGTCTGTGCTTTCTACCTCGGTGGCAGCCCAGTCTGTACCC